GAAACTTGAGATATCTGCTTCAGTATTTCATTTTCAGGATTCCTATCAAGTCCTTCAGTGCTGTGTTTTGTAAAAACATTAAGTACATTAGTCCTTGACAATTTAGTTAACTAGAATCAGAGCTGTGGGGAGGCATTGAACGTTTGAACTATGTTACCTTAATTGCTCTAAAATATAATATTTAAATAATGCTTATTCTAATTTATGCTAAGTGAATGTTATGCTAAATTTTGCTTCATACTTTTTTTTCCTTTTGTTGCTGTTGCAGAGGATGAATATAGGCCTGAGAGTTTTCCTTGTGATAGCAGATAGTTTGCAGCAGAAAGATGGCGAACCACCAATGCCAACCACAGGAGTTGTTCTTCCCTCAGGAAATACTCTCCGTGTGAAGAAAATTTTTCTTAATAAAACACTGACAGATGAGGAAGCAAAAGTTATAGGTATGTTTTATTCTTCTGTAAATTGACATTTGCAATATATGTATTTCATTTTCAATTATTCTCCAAGAGTACACTTGTGTAGACTTTATATTTACTTTAGTTGTTACTAGAAATCTAATGGCAGTATGTTGTAACAAAATTGCTTATGTAGAGAGGGCTCCCTCGGAATATTGAATTTCTGGTGTCCCAAGATGAGATCCCTGACTTTTCTTAAAACTGTTTTGTGTTGTTGAACTAACACTAGAAAGCCTTTTTTCCTTCTAGGATATCTCCCACCTGAAGCGGGGTGGAAACTTTTTAACCCACATGCTGATCTTCTGCTACTGAAGCAGTTTCTAAAGGGCTCTTTCAACATGTGTAATTTCAGCTAGAACTAAAATGCTCAGAACTGAGAAAATAGGAAAGGGACTAAGAACTACTTCCTTGTATATATTCTTTCTTCTGCTTTCAGCTCCTACTGTTAACACCTACCAACTGCATGTTCAGCATACATTTATTTTCTTTCAACACCTAAATTATGTGTTTAATATCATCTTACTGTAAAACTGGTATTTATCTTAAGCTGAATACATGGTGGATAAGTTAGTTAGAAGATCAAAATAAAATGAGAGCATGAAATAGTGAAACAAATCATATGATTTTATTAATTAATTTATTTTTCAAGGGATGTCCATATACTATCCTCAAGTCAGAAAAGCACTAGACAGCATTCTTAGGCATTTGGACAAAGAAGTTGGAAGACCAATGTGCATGACTAGTGTGCAGATGTCCAATAAAGAACCTGAAGACATGATTACGTATGTATTAAAATATTTTCATTGTCAGGGTCATGTTATATTGATTTTATTCTGTAATATATTTCTAATTCCATCATTAGTACGTTAAAATATTAACTTATTTTAGTATTAAATTAAGATTAATTTCCCTACTGTGTAGATTGAGGATGATAACTTTGTTAGCTTCTGCAGTTTTAACATAAATTTGAAAATATTTCAAATGGTGTACTTAAATACCTTTCCCTGTTGTGTTGGTGGATATAAATTGTTTTCACAGGGGTGAAAGAAAACCTAAGATAGATTTGTTCAGAACTTGCATTGCTGCTATCCCAAGACTGATTCCAGATGGCATGAGCAGGACTGACCTCATTGAATTACTTGCAAGGTAAGGGAAATGAAATTTTGCTCTTGTGGCATGTTCTTTTCTAAAAGCTGTTTGTGTGTAATCAAGAGGCTCCGGTGCCCTAGATGCAGTATGAGTAGTATGTAG